TCCCTCAGTAACGATAGCTACCTAGGGGTCACAGCACATTATTTTGACATAGACTGGAATCTTCGGTCGCACGCTTTGACTGTTGTTTGACAGACGAGAGGCACTATGCTGATGTTTGAGCTGAGCACTTTCTGCAAGTAGCCAGACAGTGGAACATTAAACTCAAAATTAGCACACTGACCACTGATATTAACGCAGCGCACGATTCCTGTTTGACAACATGATTGCAGTGGCCAGGCAGCTCCCGTTCGAGCATATGCCTTGCATTGCACACAGCCTCCACCGAGCCATCACAGTTTCGCTCCAGAACAGCCCGTTTGACAGCGCCTTGGCAAAATGCAGGAAGGTAGTGTGGGCCATTTCAAGCATAGCCCAGCAAATGCAGCCGAGCTCAAAAAGCAGCAAGTTGCACATCCTTAAAAGAAAGAGTCACTCACACAGGAGGTGTCAACTAGATGTAATAGCACCCTGGAAATGATAAAGCGTGTTCAAAGAAATCAAGAGCCACTGAGAGATGCATGAGCCCTACCTGCAAGCAACATAACCATGCCAACAGCAGCTGAACTGGATAAACTGTGTGTGTGTGTGCACACGTGTGTGTCAGTGAGAGTGAGACAAAGACATAATGAGTGTCTCACTCACTTTCAAATTAAAGTGCTTTTCTCTACTATTGCAGGTATGTGAGTGAACTTCTAGGAGGAGAGAAGTTTGTTTCTTGCTCAGTTGTGCTGCCAGCATTGTGTCATCACGTGTGATAGAGGTCTCAGAAGATGACCCAGCATACATGGTTACATTTAAGGAAACTTTCACAACAGACATGGAACACCGAAGGAAAAAAACAACATCACATGGCTGAGGGTTGCAACCCTAGGTTTAAGGACTTCAAATGTCTGAGCAGGGCTGACAGAGCTGAGACGTGGAGTTCAATCTGTGCCCTGCTCCGGGAGAGGGGGCTTGCACAGCAAGATTAACCAGTGACAACTGAGCCACCTAAGAAGAGATCATGTCTCAAGTCTGTGCCAGAGTCTTCATCTGATGAAGAAGAGGACTGTATTGAGAAATGTGTGGAGCGCTACGAGGCAGAGCCCTCTATTGGCATAGAGGACTGTCCCCTGCAGTGGTGGTCCAAACATGAAGGGCCACACAGTGAGATGGCCTCCCTTGCACGCAGATACTTAGCAGCACCTGCCACATACATACCTTGTGAAAGATTGTTTTCACTGTCAGGGCATGTTGTGCAGAAAAAGCGAGCTGCCCTGTCATCTGAAAATGTAAACAGGCTTGTCTGTTTGAGCAACTGGCTCAGTGCAAAGAAAGAGAAGTAATGGGAACCTGTGGTTTTTCTATGTGGGACTCTAAACAGTGTTCTGTGCTCGTCTGTGCAGCCAAACACAGAACAGTTAGCATGCTTTGCTCAAACTTTCTCCATGGCATTAGAGCTGGTTCACCATTGTCGCTTGCGAAAACACAATGACGGCGCCGTGGGTGTAAACTTACAGATTAAGGGGCAGTAATATTATAATGAGATCTCTTTGCCACGTCACCAAGGGAGCGAAATCTCGTTTTCGCAGACGCTTGCAGAAAAAGGCTTCCCAAAACAAAGTTACTGGGTTAATTTTTTGTTCACTTTTCCTTGGTTGGTAGATCCACCGGGGACCTGATTTTTTGTTGTTGTCCTTTTTCTCTATCAAACCTTTTAGTTGTCATCATACATTATATGTCATTTGAAAGCTTAAAAGCCCAAGATTCATCCTGTGAAAACCATTTTGAATTCGGACTTTGTGTTACAATGGAAATGGTACTTTAAAATCTTTTGGCGGTCTCCTCCCCCTTAGTGGGCAGTGTCAAGTGTCATATTACAAAATGCATTACGGTCTTTTAGAATCAAACCTTTTTATAATCTTGACAAAACACATATTTAGAGATAGAAGTAATATTGACAGAGAAATCTAGACATTTGTGCCAGAAAAATGCATTCAAAAAATTAAATGGAGTTTGGATGGCACCCGGTGGCTGTTTGTGGAATAACGCCCTAAATAAAATCTCACAGGAACCTCAATTTTTTCCATATCAACTTTCAATTTGGAACATGACTTATTTAGACATAAGGCTTTAATTTTATACCAATTTTAGAGTAAAACCTGTTATGTCAAACATTTATTATATATAAAATTAAATTAATATAGTGCATTTTATTTACAGTAAATTTAAACTTCTATAATTTTTTGATACTTTCATTTTTAAAAAAAAATAAATAAATCCACATTTGCAATAATCTGCTGATTTTCTTCTTCAAAAAGAGTATATAAATACATAAATTACAACAATTTAAGTTTGGATAGTGCACTTTCATGCCTATTTTAAAAAATGGGGGGTGACAGTTAAGGGGTTAATAGATAAACATATCAACCATCTTTGAAACATGTCTATGTTCTTTATGCTCTATGTTTAGGGTGGTTTCACTAATAATAAACATACATTTGCAAAAAAACATCCATATTTGCCCATGCCATAATTGTCTAATTGTTGATTAGAGTATTAAAAACTTGAAATATATAAATTTAATCACAGTTAAGATCGTATTTTTACATAAAGGATATACTTTAACAAACACCATCTTCACAGCAGCAGATCTCAGTTCAGATGATACTCCTTCAGATATTCCTGCTTGCTTCGAATATAGGACGAGAATATTACAGGTATTTACTGACCTGATTCAAAAACTGTATTTCTCTATTTACAAAAACAACATTTCTAACCGTTTGTATTAAGCCAGCATTACGATAAAACAACAGGGAGCGGAGTGAAACTAAACTTCTTCCTCTGAGGTTTAATGGTGTTTGGCAAACAAGCGTATGTGTTTTAGCGCCACCCGCTGGACTGGAGTGTGAAGCGGCAAGAGGAGGGAAATAATACGGGGAAAATTACGTGCGTCTATAAGGTGCGCTGATTTGTTTTCCTTTGAAAAAGCCTATCTGCACAAATAAATGATAAATATATTATAGACTCGCATGGTATTTGATCAACACCAGCAGTCTTCGTGAGTGAGGATTGGTAGAGAAAAATGAGAGAAAGTCAATATTTCAGTGAAAATCACACAAGGTTCCCTAATGGTTATATTTTAGGTTACCTTTTTTTGCAACCATAAAATAACGTTGCCATAACATCATCTCACTTTATTCTGAGTGTTTGCTGTTAGAACACATGATTTGAGTCAGGATATATGATAAAAACCCTATAAAACTGCTGGATAAAACATCAGCAATACAAAAACAAACACTAATGACACTCATCTTCATCAACTACTACAGCTAAATAACTACAACAGCATAATATGTCTACGTGACTCTAAATATAGTCTGGTTTTATAATAACTACATTCATTGCAATTAAGTAATTAGATAATTAAAGGCTGATGTATTATTAAAATATTTTTTATTGATTTTCATTATACAATAATTTCAGCCACACAAACATATACAACATTCTTCTTAAATCACATATTTCACACCAAAACAACTACAAACATCAAACACATACACACCCCTTTTAAAAAAAAGGGAGGGGGGGGTGGGGGTCCAGATATGATCAATTATGAAATAATGTCCCATACGGATTCAACGTAAGATAAAAAGGGCTGCCAGACCCTGTGAAACTTTCCAGAGGAGCCTCGGATAGTATACTTAAGGTGCTCAAGTTTAAGATAATACATCACCTCTACTACCCAGTGTTTGTGAGATGGTGGCCTTACCTTTTTCCAACTGAGAAGAATCAGGCGCCTAGCCAATAATGAGGAAAAGGCGATGATTTCTACCTGATTAGCTGATAGGTGCACTTCTTCCGGCACTACACCGAAAATGGAAGTCAAGGGATTAGGGTCCATGTCTTTATCACATATAGATGAAAATGTCCTGAAGATGTCTATCCAAAAGCTTTTTAATCTGGGGCATCCCCAAAACATATGACCCCAAAACCCAGATGTGGTTCCAAACCACATCTGGGGCAAGATGAATCTGACCCCGGATACATCTTAGCCAGCTTGCTCCTAGACAGATGGAGCCTATGAAGCACTTTGAATTGTAGAAGTCCATGTCTAATACATACAGAAGATGAGTGTACCAATTCTATTGCCCACTGCCAGGGTGTATCTGACATTTCTATTCCCAGTTTCTCCTCCCATTGCCTCTTTATATTGTCTAGAGATGGGGAGGTGGTTCTTTGAATAACCTCATACAGAATAGACAACATACCCCTTCGAAAAGGGTCGATATTTAACAACTCATCTATCCAGCCCCCTTCAGGTTGGTTCAAGGAGGGAGAGAAGTGTTTTTAATGAAGCTACGGACCTGTAAGTACCTACACAATTAGACTGAGGGATCTCAAAATCCGTTCTTAGCTGTTGGAATGAAATAAATATGCCGTCTTGAAAAGGTCCTTAACCCAACTAATTCTGTTTCTAGACCACAACTGAAATGCTGAATCTATAAGAGAAGGAGGAAACAAAGGATTCAAGAGAATAGGGGCAAATGCTTGTTTACTGTGACCATATTCTGAGTTATCCACAGACAACTGGGTTATTCGTAGAATAGTGTTTGCTTACTGGAATTGGAGCACAGAGCAGTGAACGTGGAGATACTGGATTACACATGTTCTGTTCCATCAGTAACCAAATTGAAGCTTCATCACTCGATAAATCAGAAAGCCAAATTATCAGTTTGTATAGGTTGGCTACCCAGTAGTAATATAAAAAATTTGCCATTGCCAATCCACCCTCTTCCTTCTTTCTTTCCAGATATTCTTTTCTTATGCAAGGAATTTTTTTATCCCAAGGAAACATGGAAATACAATTATTCAGATCTTTGAAAAATTATTTGGGAATTAAAACAGGCACGGTCTGAAATAAGAACAAGAATCTTGGTAATATTGTCATTTTAGAGGAGGTGATTTTTCTTATGCGAGGGTTTTTTTTTTATGTCTCGTTCATGTTCATGTATTTTCTTTCTCTTTTAAAATTACTATTGAACAGATCCTTATATCTGCGTGTTACACTTACACGTAGAAAAAAATTATCAAAGCTTACTGAGAATGGGAAAGATTGGAAAGACCTTGTTGTGCTCTTTGATTAATAGGGAAAGGAAGACTCTTTGCTAAGTTAATTTTGTATCCCGAAACATTTCCAAAATCTGAAATAATTGCAAGGGCTTTCGTTATAGAGGAATCTGGATTAGATAGGAAGAAGAGGAGATCGTTCACATAAAGCAGAAGCTTATACTTGTGTCCCTCCCTTAGTATTCCGGACAAGCCATCTGTATTCCTTAACAAGATTGCCAGAGGTTCGATGGTAATATCGAAAAGCAGGGGGGACAGAGGGCAACTTAATAATTATATTA